AGCAAGACCTTCATCATTAAAGCCCTCACCAGCCATTTCAGCGGTTCCTGCTGTCCAAATAGAACCATGAAGGCCTTTCGCTCGCATCCAGTATGAGCTCTTGATGGTCTCTTGTTCAACATTAGATTTTGCTTCAACAATGATATCATAGCGCTGACCGGCGTTGATGAAGATTGAATTTATACTTTCTGATGGCTTGAGGTAGTCAGAGTCCGCAGCAACGACTCGGAATTCGTGCTCGTCAATGCTGAACTCGATCGGGGCCAGAGCGACCATGCTTATGAGGCGCAAAAGGTACTTCTTTCCCGGCTCAAAGTGGAATTTTGGAAGAGGTTGAACATCTGTACAGTCTGTAAAATTCTGTTTAGCTGCAGCCGTGCAGTTGTATCGACCTCGGTTGTTGATCAGGATGGAGTTATAGATCGGTATAGCAACTGGACGTCGATGGTACATATCTGCCAATTGAATGATGTACTCGCCGTCAATTTCCCTTTCCCAGTCCTTCATTTGGTTTGCAGGAGGGCGAACAACCATAGGACCTCGCAATCCAAACGCATATTGTGCCAAGTGGTGGCTGTGCCACCAAAATGAACCCGCTTTGTCCGGGATGAAGTGATAGATTGTCGTTGCATTGGGAGGAATGTGGCATTGGGTAATCTCGGATGTTCCATCCATTTCTTGAGTGCCAAGTTGCTTCAGCCCGTGCCAATGCAGACATGTCGGATCAGCAAGTTCGTTTGTGACACGAACCTCAACTTCCTGGCCCAACTCTACATCAATTAGAGCTTGGTCAGCAGTGAAGTCATTAATTCCGAGGGAGTTAATGTAGACACCGTCGTATTCGGTGTATATATTTGTTATGCGCCAATCGAAGGATACAACGTCAGCTACACTGGTGTGGAGCTGGAGAGTGAGTAAGGCCGATGCAACGGCAGTGATGTGATTGATACCCATTACCTGACCGATTCGTTAAGTTTGAAGCGGAAGGTAGGAGTCTTGTGCTGAGTGCAAAATCGGAAGTGAGATCTGAGCCATAAGGTCATGAGAAACATATCTCGGATGCATTGGACTTAGCATTGGGATAAGCGCATGCACACACTGACATCAGTTGCGTGTAATGCGAGTAGAGATGCACAAGATTATGTTTCTAGGATTGATACAACGTTTAATATCCTGTTTTAACATCGGTAGATATCTGTATCTACATGATTTTTAGTTAGAGAATACTGTAATCGCGACCGATGCCCGGAATCATATCAAATCGGGCGAAACAAATCTCTACTTTTAATTTATAAACACTCATTCAGGATACTTTCCGACCACGAAAACTCGTCTCACGGAAATTTGCTCAAATTTTAACTCACTTTTCATACTCCAGGCTATGATTTACATTACCACACGGTGGTATTTATTGTTTTAGCCATAGAAAAGTTATACAAACCAGCAATACAGTAGTTTTGGGTTAGGATTTGCGACTCTAAATAAGGCACAAAGAATAGCAAGGAGCTTATTTATATTTACTTGGCATGTAAGGCTCGCATTTGTATGCTGTAGAAAAAGTTTACGATTACTAGGAAGAAAATGTGTGGTCTATACCTACTGATATATATACACTGCAAGTCAAAGCAAACGAAAATAGTTAATAAGGCGAAAATCAAGCATTTTACAAACTTGGTCGTTACAATTTTACACATGCGGAAAAGGGCTTCAAAAGCCGGTTCACATTTGATTGCGCCAAAATTTGAGACCTTCCATCTGTGCATCTTTTTTCTATATTTGTAATTTTCTTCCGTGACGTTCCCTAATGCATAGGTACCGATCAGAGAATTAGTGATGAGCACGAGATTCAGCTGGTAGTACAAAGCATCGGTTGGGTACCGCATCGTACATTTATGCAAGTAATAAGTATTCCACAACATTGAGTAATTTAAGGTACAAATTTGAGAAATTTTTCATAATGTCTCATACCTGGCGACATCAAAAAGTAGTGATTACCATTTGGCGATCGATATGGATGAGTAGGCTCTATATTTCTTGCAACTGATCCATGTTGGCCTTCACGTGGTTGCTCGTCTTAGTGAATGACCAGATGAGTTATTTATAAGATCATCACAAAAAGAATATATTGTGCCTCAATTGGCAAGATGTCTTTATAGTTTGAACGAAAAGCAACACATAAGTCGCCCAAGCAATTTGTACTAATTAAAATCATCTAAGACGCAGGCGACAATAACGTGAGATAGGCCAGACTTTCAAACACGGCTCGCTGTGGTACCAAAAAGGCTATCTTGTGATCAACCACGGCTATTCTAGAAGAGTGGATCTTTTTCTGAGAATCTGGTAGAATCTTCATATCATTCCCACATTTACGTGATCCATCATCATTAGTCCCACCTTTTATAATTTGTGTAGAATAAGGCAACCAGTGTTTATGCGATGCACGTACTATCCCGTACCCACAGAGTGGACTCTGGTCCGTAATATCCACTCGACCGGCATGCAAAACAAATCCTATCCAAGATTTTTCCTCAGTAGCAGCCTCATCAATCATATACTGACCTGACCTGTGGGAGATGCCGGATTTTGTACTGTTTTTCACGTCTATGTAATGGATCGTGCTTCGTTTCTCGCTTGTTTATGAGCATTTAGATTAATGGCTGTAAATCTTATGCTTATTGCGATTTTCAGTATCAGAGCATACTTTATTTAGGGATGACTGCCGAACTGGGTCACGAAATCTGACTATGCATGCCAAAAAGCATGATTTCCAATTTAGAACGTCTCCTATGGCAGACATAAACATTGATTTTATGGATAAATAATATATTTCGCTTTTCGCTCCAAACTTGATCAAATAATGTGACCTTAAATAGAGTGATGTTAAGACCGTACCTATACAGGATCATTTCTATAGTACCTTCTTTTCTACTTGACTTTCTTCGTAGACAATCTCATAAATAGAGTGGTGTCAATTGTTGCAACTTGAATGCAGCTGGCTTGCAGCTGACTGTTTTGGGTTCGAGTTCTTTTTGCAATCTTGCCAATTTTTCAGCTTGAACTTTGCCTGAAATCTGGTCAAGTGAGAAGGGGTGCACAGATGGTGCTCTGGCTTTGTGTGGAGCTGCAAAACAAGTTTGTGCATCTCTCGTCTTAACGCGCTGAGTTCCTTGTAACTCTTAACATAATCCTCTTTTATTCCATCGGCAACTGATTCATTGAATTGATAATGGGATTTCCACAGTCACAAAATATTTTCATACCTGTGCATCCTATTATTGTGGAATATGGTGGAAATTACATATTCGCACTGGATTTCACATCTATATGCAACACTGTTGCGTGTTTGTTGCTTGAGCATGGAACTGCAGCTGCGGATATTCAAGTGCGGCTGAAAAGGATATCAGCATGCGACTGTTTAGCACTAGGCAGGCAGCTAGAAATACTTCAAATACGTCAATGATCCACCATTCACTAGTCTAGTCGAATATGTGCCCACTGCTCCATAGGTCGAAAAAGATTCTCGGCAAGAATGAGCCGCTACAGCGGAAAAACATTGCGATCAGGCCTAGAGTATTAAACAGCGCTTAAATTTTACAGGTAATAGAATATTATATTAGTTATTAAGCTCGCACTAATCACATTAAATTATCTTACATAAGAAAATTTAACTTGACAACTTATACCGGAAGCTTTGATTTTCCGCAGCACGTCGAGTACTTTAGTAGAGTGTTTTATCATAAGAGTTAGAATTGACAAAAATTGATACGATTTACAAAGTGCAATTACAAAGCCAATGGGCACATACCTAATTATGGTATGCGTACTAATTCCACATAATCTCCTGGAGAAGGGCTGCGCTCAAAATCCTTAACATAGCCCGCCAGTTCTTGCTACTCATGACCGATAGACAAAATCTCAACGAGCCGAAGCGTCTTATCTACCGAGGTACTGCACATTGGTGCCTATGTTCGCGCATGGCCTCCTTAATTAAAGAAAAAAAGCGCAGCGCGCTTCCGCTCAGTTTGATCCATGGTCATAAAAGAATATGGCCTTCTCAATGTTCCTCATTGTCTTAGTCTCAAAGGCCAGGATGCAAAACATAAGCGGTCCAACCGCGGAACATCTATTTCTTCAAAGGCACGAAGTTGAGGTGCTTCTATCTGATATGACCTCGTTAGCAGATTCTCAGAGCTGGTGACAGCTTTGGGCTATGATACTGCTGCTTTCAGTTCTTTCGTCGCCAACTTTCGGATCCCATCGGGACGTAAGATGTGCAGAAGCTTGTTAGATTGGTGCATCTGTTATAGGGTCGGGTTCTTGAGTAATTTAAGCAATATTCTCGCGAATTTAATACAGTCCTAGCACGACACTATCGTGGGATTGACAATGAGTGCTACCAAGTGCAGTGAATTTTGCACAGAGTCTGCGCTGACAAACGGACAAAATACGAAGTTATGCGCCCCAACCAGGTGCGGAAATGACTGCCTTTTTTGATCGCTCTGAATCTACTTACACCGATACTGGATACTACGCTGTAATGAAACGTACTCTTCTCTAACGTGCAGCTAACACCTCACATCCCGTTTTTTCGTAATCTTCATTAGTATCGATATCCCGGTACTTTCGAAGATTTACAATTACACCTCGTGGAAACAGAAATTCGTCAAACCTGTATAGTGTTGGATATTATATAACCGTTAGAAATATGAAAGGGTTAAATACATTGTAATGATTTGCACTTAGCTATTACATGAAGGCATATAAATATTCCTTATGCATTGAGGATATTCATAACAAAATGGGTTGCAGTTAGGTGCCACCACATGCATGTGCGACATCTTATATTATTCTCTATAACAGGATTACACGTACCCTGGTATAAAGGAGTAGATCATACAAGATGGTGTAACCACACAGTGATGTGGTTACACCTTAACAAGCAGCCACTACGTGGCGGGACTGTCAGTAATTATGCATTTTAGTTAGGTTTCACAATTTATTTAGAAATACCTATATGTTTAGATCATAAAACAAAAGAAAAATACAGTTTACATTTACGAAGAGTGTATTTGCCTTGATTTAAGGTTGTGGGTACTGTTGGAGTCAGCGGCTTGCGATCCACTATGCTCATACTGTTTCTAGCTTAGAACGTAAGGTCGGTGACCTTTGCTTTGTTTTCGCTAAGCGAAAGAGCTACGTCAGCCCCGCTGCACTTGGTAGCACTCGTACTAAATCTACACCTGATTCGTTACGACTGATCTTCTGTGAGGCTGAAGTAATTCACCTTTTTGCCCCAGGGCATGTAGGACGGGCTTAAAAAGCTGATGTCTCGGCTTGTCCAACACGTTTTCAAACTGTGAAAATGCTCTGCTAGAGCACCGAGAGTGGAGATGCGGTGTCGACCGCGTCAATGACGAACCCGTCGACGATAAATGAGTTCTCTCGACCCAGGCTGCTCATGGTGATCGTTAAGACCGTCGCAGATAAAGATGGAGAGGTTCTCCTGCTCTGGGTGAGAGAGGGCGAGATAGCTATGGCGTCTACCATACCCCAAGCCGAGCGACAGCGCGTGGGGCTAGCTATCTCCAAGCTCTGTGGTCAAGCGCGTGAATGGGCATTGACATACAGCACTTCGGTCGAGGCGGCGCTTCCCTCCTAGATGGAGCTGAAGGTGCAGCTTTTTCGAGTGTTCTTGCCGCATAACCAGGCAAATCGCATGCGATCGCCTTTTCTTATAGCCCGACCGGCAAGAAGGAATTGGTGGACTTTGTCCAAGAGTTTCGTACTCTCATTGCAAGTATGGCAGCCGATCCTCTCTCTGAGGCAGTCACGGTGACCCTCTTTATGGAGATCCTCCGTACTGGCGTGGCTAGAATGGAAGTTATCCGTGTGCATCGGTCCTCTTTTATAGAAGCAGTGAATGCGGCATTAAAAGCCGAATTCGACTTTAACCCGGCACGACTTAGTTTGAATGCACAGTCTAGCAGCTCGTCGAGCGGTCCTAGGCCGTAGATCTCAGCTATGCTGCGAACGAGGAGGCAGAGCTCCGAGCTGCGGAGCAGCGTTCGAATACCCGTCGGTGTTTTCTCTGTGGAGACACCTGTCATCTTCAGATTGGTTGTCCCCTGCGCAAGGCGCGTCAAGGTCTATCGAACCAATGTCCTGCTTCTTACCAGTCTTCTGTTTCGTAGCGGGAAAACGGCAACCCACAGTAGGCGCGAGGTGCCCTACTGGGGAAGAACTGAGTTCTGTTGAGCCTCAAAGAGATATACGTCAGTAGGGCCCATCTCCGAAGAACTCCGTGCTCTTGAACACGAATCGTGTATGCGATGAGGGTATGCTGGTCGTACAAGCGACCGTGTAGGGCTTTGAGAAGCCATGGAAGATCCTGATGGACCCTGGGGCGTCGAGTGATTATGCTTGACGCTCCATAATTGAAGAAAGTCAGCTGTATGCTGAGGCGCTGAGGTGCTGAAAACTTGGTTGAGTGATCTCGTCACTGTCTGCTTAACGACGAGCACAGTGCCGAGGGTCCCTGTGGACTTCGGTGTCAAGTTTCTTGACTTTGATATCGTGAAACGCAGCTTAGTCTCAGATCTGGATTCGAGTGATGACCTCATCCTTGGTATGGCATGGTTGGAACACCATGAGCCATGGATCGATTGAAGGTCGAAGACTTTGGGCGCTACGCGCACGTCTCCTGGTGGAGCTTTGGTGAGTCACAAACCGGAGGCAAAAACGCTATTGACGCGGAAACTGGACTGGGATGGTCAGAGTGTTAGAGATCGGAGTATTCGAGTTTGTCTACACCGACGGTTTATCGGACAGGAGTCCCGAACATGGCTCGCGGGCTGAACGTGGAGTGGCACGTAACTCACTAAGCGCTGCTCAAATAACAAAACAGTCTCTGCATGTCACGAGTAGCATGATCGAACGAGGTCCGGGTCTTCGAGGGCGTGGTCTCAGTGATGCATGTCGAAAGACGCGAAATCCACTGAACACTGCTCACGTTTCGAAGCAGTCGCTGCATGCCACGAGTGGCATAGTCGGACGAGGTCCGAGGCATCTTGGGAAATGCCCTTCAAATGCATGTGGGATGACACGTTATACACTGGACGAAGACGGCGGAGCTAGCAGCTGTACGTGCTCACACTGATCTCGCCGGGACCTAAAATTTCTGTGAGGAGGCGACAGCAACGCCATATGCTTGCTGCAAGACGCCGGGCGTCCACTCATGATGTGTCTACCGTAGACGATAGCGCACAGCTATACACTCTCTTCAATGGTATGACGGGGAAGGAAGACGGCGACGTCGCCCACGAGGCTAAATCTGCGGGGAATGCTCTTCTTGAGCTAAACGAGATGTCCCTCGAAGAGTCCGGCGGTGCCTTGAAGGCAGGCGACTTAGTCGAAGTGGTCATCAACGACCGGAAGAGGC